CATTTTTTTTTTTTTTGGCAATTGGTTATGCATTGTTAAAAAGGAATAAGTCAACGAGAAGTTCTTACATTTCTTAACAAATATTAACTTGAAGGGTGGTGCAATCGATCAATAATGACTCCCTGAATTCACCTTTTTTGCCTCCCTTTTTTGTCCTTCAATGGTTTGATCTATAGGTTCAAATATTCATATTCATCATTAGATACACAAAGTGTGGCTTGGATAGCTAATATGTTTTGAGTGAGACAGGCACAAATTATATCATGAGCGAAGGATGCTAATCCAGATCTGTTCTCTTAAACACAGGTATTTCTCCAATCTGATGTAAAAGAAGTTGTAGTGAGAATGAAAGAAGAATTTATGAAATATGGTAAGGGCAAGCTCGCAGTGGTGCATGATTTGGATGATAGCACCAGTCATCAAGATGGGTGGTTGAAGGAAAATCCCTTTGGCATTCGATCGGATTGGGAGCAACATGTTATAGACCGTGGATCTCCTATGTACCGATTACTGCTATTGAAATCTTTGAGTTCTGGTTGAGATAGATGCAACAGGGTGGATTCACGAACAAAATCATTCTTAAAAGGACGTCTACAGGCCAAACTGTGGATGAGTGGCTATTCTTATCTCTCCGAGGTAAATTTCATGCTAACATTTCCATATCCTGGTTAAGTCATGAGATATAATGTTGCATGAAAACTATTCTTTAAACTCCAAATTGTAGCTATCTAATTATTTTCCTCGTTGCCTTAAATGCTATCTCGAGCAAAGAAGTGTTATCTCTGAATTCTATCTTTGATTTTCTCATATTCCGTCTTGCAGAGTTGCAGTTTATCGATGACAATAATATTTTCTTAATTTACATCTTTTCTGTCATGCAATTTAAGCTACAATTGTTGAAAACACATTTTGTTTTTCAGAAATTCTAGTTTTCCTTGTGCTTTTGGTTGTCATGTTATATTATCTATTTCTTTTCTGGGTACAAAATGATTACTAGAATCATTATTCTTTCCTGTGTGCTATGCAATTCAATTTGTCTAAATAGTGTACCCTCTAGTATTTACAAATACAGAAATATACAACTGCCTGGTAAAAATAACCTCGGAAGTCAAGATAAGGTACTTAAATTGGGACAGAAAGATCATATCTACAGACCACTTAATTTTCAATGAATATCCTGATGGAAGATGTGTGCTTTTGTGTGAATGTGATACTCAAGCAAGATAAAAATAACATCTGAAGTAAAGATAAGGTACTAAAATTAGGATTGAAAGATAATCTTATGCTCTTAATTTTCATTGAATATCTTGATGAAGATGCCTATCTCAGTGTTTGTAGAAAAATACTGTCCGGACCTCCTTAGATAGTCTCGTAGTTTGAACAGTGGGCACGCTGAAAAGAACGGGAGCTGCAATATGATACCAAAACTATCCACTGGCACCAAAGAGAGTATTCAGGTAGGGAAATGGAGCAGTAGGAGATTCGTTTCACCATCTTCTTCTGTTAACATGATTGCCTTTATACTTGATTCTTTCTACTCAAACTAAGTCTAAGAAAAGTTGCCCTAAACTTATTTATAATGGCAGGCTTTCCTTGGTATATTGTAGTGACCTGTTTGTAGCAGAAGATGACAGTACGATGGATGCCGATTGAGGCTGCTCAATTGTACCTGCAATGTAGTTAAGGCAGAGAAAGAAGCTGGGATTTCCATAGGAACAGAAAGAAAAAGATGCAGACACCAGAAGTTTCTTCCTTTTACTGAAGCAAATCATTCCAAGGCTTGTCATTCTAGTTTGTGTCACCTCACATGTTCCTTATCTCCTCATCTATGTATCTATGGCTATGGAAACATTAATCTTTAGTGTTATGTTATAGTGTGTAGCATGAAACTTAAGGTTGCTGGACTAACTAGCCCGAAGATACTCACATGGTGTAATATTGTTCGTTTTGGGCCAAGCTCACACGGTTTTTCCGAAAAGACCTCACACCATTAAGATACCAATGTAGAACTTGATGGGAATAAACCTCCTACAGTAAATAATATTCACGGTAATAAAAGCGAAATAATAACGTAGCACCGAGATACGGTAATCAAACAAGAATAAAAGAGGGACAACGACACCTATATTTTTACGTGGAAAATCCTTATGAATGAGGGAAAAAATACGACCCCGAGAGGAGCAACTGATATCACTATAGCAAAGAATTTTATACTTTGTCCAAAGATTACTACAACAATCAAAAGAAATAACCCTCTTTTGATATTCCCACGTTACTATAATATCGTTCACACTCTATATTTTCTTTACAGGTTATTTTCTTATATCTTATTTGTGATGCCTCACTCTTTCTTTCTCTCTTTGTTGGTACGTTTAACAAATGACTCAGGAGCTCTCTATTTATAGAGATTTAATACTCCTACAAACGTCATCAATGACGCCAAATGAAATATAAAAACTTCAAACTCTTCAATGTGAACAAATCAAAATGTCAGCTGTCAAATCTATAAAAGTTGTAGACACTAGAAGTCTTTATCAAAGGAAAAAAACATCTTTCTTAAATCATGGACCATGGGATGCACCTATCAAATTTCTCCCTCCAATCCCATGTACCTGAAGGAGATATCTCCAGTTTTACATATAGAGCTCAAGCCGACAAGTTCTTAGCATAGCTCGAACTTGTCTCTTGGAATCACTTTACTCAGCATATCCGCGGGATTTTCATTCGTGTGAATCTTTTTTACCTGCAAAAATTCGTTCTCCCCTTGTTCCGAATCCAATGATATCTCACATCGATATGCTTCGTTCTTGCATGGTACATGGAGTTCTTGCTCAAGTCTATTGCACTTTGGATGTCACAATAAACAACATTCTCCTTCTGATGCAAGTTAAGCTCTTGAAGGAATCGTTTAAGCCACATCATCTCCTTGCCAGCTTCAGTAGCGACAATGTACTCCTCTTTAGTTGTAGAGTGTGAGACACACTTCTGCAACTTCGATTGCCATGATATAGTTCCTTTTGAAAATGTAAACAAATATCCAGTAATGAATTTTCTATTATCAATGTCACATGCCATATCAACGTCTGTATGGCCCTTCAAGATTGGATCAAATTCTCAAAAACACAAACAGTCTCCTACGGTACTTTTAGGTACCTGAGTATCCACTAGACTGCTTCCTAGTGTTCTTTTCCAGGATTTTCAAAAAACCTGCTGACAACACCGACTACATGAGCAATATCAGATCTGGTGCATATCATTGTATACATCAAGCTTCCGATTGCTGATGAATAAGAAACTCTGGTCATGCTCTATTTTTCCTCATTTATTGTAGGACACATTTTTTTGCTAAACTTCATATGACTAGCAAGAGGCACACTAACTGGCTTAGCACTCTTCATGTTGAGATATCCATAAATTAGCAAGCGTTCCAGTACACGTTCAATGTACTTCTCTTGAGACAACCACAACTTTTTGCTTGTTCGCTCTCGAACTATTTTCATCCCTAAAATTTGTTGTGTTGGGCCCAAGTCTTTCATATCAAATGACTTGGAGAAATCTCCCTTCAACTTTTCAATCAGCTCATTGTCTTTTCCTATAACTAAGATGTCATCCATATAAAATAATAAAATAATAAAGTCGTTGTCAGAAAATCTTTTGAAGTATACACATGTATTTAAATAGGTCTTCGTGTAAGTTTGACTTTTCATGAATAAGTTAAATGTTTTGTACCACTGCCTTGGTGCATGCTTCAACCTATAAAGACTATTATTCAATTTGCATACCATGTGTTTCTTTCTAGCTATTTCAAATCCTTCTGGCTTCTTCATATAAATCTCCTCTTCCAAATCTCCATGAAGAAATGCAGTTTCCACGTCCAACTGTTCCACTTCAAGATTTAGTTTAGGTGTTAAGCTCAAAATTGTTCGAATAAAAGTTATTTTGACAAACTGGTGAGAAAATTTTGTCAAAATCAATACCTTTCTTCTGTTCGAATCCTTTTACTACAAATCGAGCTTTATATCTTACCAACTTGCCATTTCCATCTTTCTTGAGTTTAATGACCCGTTTTTATTTGAGTGGCCTTTTACCCTTTGGAAGTTTAACCAGCTTGTACGGGCCATTATTTTGTAGAGATTCCAGCTCTTCTTGCATGGATTTCATCCACTAATTCTTTTCTGGATGGGACAACACCCCCTTAAGACTTTCTGGCTCCCCTTCATTACTGACTCTACTACCCTTGGCCTTTCTGATCTCCTTAGAGCCCGAAGTTGTTTTTCTCCCTGAGTGGGGTAACTTACTTGCTCGACATCATCATCAAGTTGCTCCCCCTGCTTAATAACCTCATCAGGTTGCTCCCCCTGCTTGGCAACCTCATCGGTTCTGCTTTCTGCACTTGTGGGATTGTTAGAAGTAGAAGAAATGGTAACAAGGTTAGAGATTATACTATTTTTGGCCTTCTCTGATTGATCATCTGTAGTTCCAACTTCACTTTCTCAGAAGATTACATCTCTACTTATGATGACCTTCTTCTTCATAGGATCTCATAATCTGTATCCGAACTATTCATCTCCATATCCGATGAATATGCAGGGAACATATTTATCATCCAGCTTTGTTCTCTGCTCATTTGGTACATGTGCAAAAGCTCTACAACCAAACACCTTCATATGTGAGTAGAACACCTCCTTGTTGGTCCAAACTCTCTCTGGGATGTCAAACTCCAATGGAACTGATGGAATCCTATTGATCATGTAATAAGCTGTCTAAATTGCTTCACCCGAGAATAGCTTAGGCAGTTTAACCATTCTGAGCATGCTTCTTACATTCTCAACAATGGTGCAATTCATTCTCTCAGCTACACTATTGTATTGTGGGGTTTCAGGAACTGTCTTTTGATATTTGATCCCATAGCTCGAACAATACTCTTCAAATTCTCTTAAAGTGTACTCACCTCCATTGTCAGTTCAGAGATGCTTTAGCTTCTGACTCGTCTTCCTTTCTACTAGATCATGAAATTTCTAGAAAACTTGAAACACCTAATCTTTAATTTTCAAGATATAAACTCACAATTTTGTTAAGCATCATCAATAAAAGTAACAAAATATTTGTTACCGCCCATCGATTTTATCTCCATTAGACCACAACCACCAGAATGTACCAAATCAAGTATATTCAATTTTCTTTCAGACGATGTCTGAAATGAGATTCTATGTTGTTTACCAAATAAACAGTAATCACAAGGTTTTACCATTGTACCTTTGGTGAGTGATTTCCTGGCAAGAATCTCCATTCCCTTCTTGCTCTTATGACCCGTTATTTTGTGCCACAAATATACAAAAATCTCACATTGCGCCACGTTCAATTCACCTCGGCATATCTCTATATTTTTCCTGTACAATGTGCCACGAGCAACTTCCTTTGCAATCACCAACGAATCCTTGGTGAGTCTCCACTTCTGATTTGTAAAATAGATCTCGTATCCATCTCGGTCCAAAGCTATTCTCGAGATTAAGTTCATCCGCAAATCAAATACATGTCGCACGTCCTTTAGAACCAATGTGCATCCGATATTTGTCTTGATACAAATGTCACTGATCCCCGAAATCATTGAGTAACTTGTGTTACCCATTCTCACAATGCTAGAATTACTTGCTACATATCTGCAAAAAAGATCTCTTACCAGTGTGGCATGGTGAGATGTTGTTGTATCAACCACCCATTCCGATTCTAGACCTGCCAAGTGCATGCATTCATCTTCCTCATTTATGAAGAGAACAACATTATCATTGTTTTGTACCATGGTGGTTGTGTTGTCGTTATTCTTCTTGTCACTGCTTTCACCTTTGTCATTCCTTAGATTTGGGCAATCTCTTTTGAAGTGACCCGATTGAACACAATTGTAATAATTTCTGACTTTTGATTTGGATCGGTTCTTGAACTTTTCACGACCTCCGGATCTACCATAGTTGCTCAAACTCCTTTGGTATCTCCTACCTCTACCTTTTGTGATGAGAGCATGCCTTTGATTTTCAAGCTTCTTTCTCATCTTTTCATTGAGTAGAAGAGCCGATATGATATCCTTCAACTCAATAATAATTTTACCGTGCAGGATGGTTGTTACCAAATTATCATACGAAGATGGAAATGAGTTCAGGAGCAAGATGGATTTATCCTTTTCCTCAATTTTTACTTCGAGGTTGACAAGCTGCATGATTAGTCCATTTAGCACATTTAAATATGAAAAACAAATTTGTACCTTCACCTATATGTAGGGTGTATAATTGCTTATTCAAATACAATTTATTTGTCAGTGTTTTGGACATGTATAGGCTTTTCAATCGTATCCAAATGCCACATGCCACATGCAATGTCTTCATCAATGATGTTATTTACCACACTATCTAATAAGTGCAACCTGATTACACTAGCAACCTTTTCATCCAAGTCAGCCCAATCCTCAGCTTTCATAGTATCAAGCTTCTTAGCATCACTATCTAATACCTTGTATAATCCTTGTTGGATGAGCATATCCCTCATCCTTCTTTGCCATGTTGAGAAACTGCTATCTCCGTTGAATTTTACTACTTCATATTTTACTCCAGATATTTTATTTTTTTATCGAGTATAGTACTACTGTCAGTGAAGAGTATTTATGTTAACGAGAAAAACCTGTGCTCTGATACAAGTTATTGAGAATAAACCTCTTATAGTAAATAATATTTATGGCAATAAAAGTAAAATAATAATGTAGCACCGAGATACGGTAATCAAACAAGAATAAAAGAGTGGCAACGACGCCAAGATTTTTACGTGAGAAATTCTTCTGAATAGAGAAAAAATCACGACCCCGATAGGAGCAATTGATGTCATTATAGCAAGAAATTTCACACTTTGTAGGCCCGATTATAATACTCCAAATACACTACAGCAATAAAAAGAAATAACCCTCTTTTGATATTTTCACCTCACTACAATATT